AAAACAAAACAAAACAAAACAAAAAACAACAAAATGCTAGTAGATACACGAATGTCCATAGTGGCATTATTCACAATAGTCAAAAGGTGGAAACAACCTGTGTCTATTGATGGATGAATGGATAAACAAAACATAGTATATACATACAGTGGACTATTATTCAGCCTTAAAAAAGAATGAAATTTGGATACATGCTACAACATGGGTGGACCTTTAAAACATTATGCTAAGTGAAATAAACCAAATACAAATGGACAAATATTGTATGATTCTACTTGTATGACTATCTAGAATAGGCAAATTCATAGCAACAGAAAGTAGAATAAAAGTTACCAGGGGCTAGGAGTATAAGGAAACGGGATGTTACAGTTCAACGGGCAGAGTTTTTGTTTGGGATTATGACGAAGTTCTGGAATGGATGGTGGTGATAGTTGCACAACACTGTCAATGTACTTAATGCCACTGAACTGTACACTTAAAAATTATTAAAACAGTAAAGTTTACGTTATGTATGTTTTACCACAATAAGAGAAGAAAAACAAATGAAAACAAAAATGCCAGGAGAATGCCAGATGCAAAACACAAGGTCAAAAAATGGTAGGTATAGTTGACCTTCCATTCTGCCCATCTTACCTGTTCTAAGTAATGTAGTGACAGGTTGATATACTTGGCCTCTGTTAGAAGTTGGCCCCCTACTCCAGTCTTTGCAACTCGCTCTGACCCAGCCAGGTCAACCAAATGAAGTTTGGCATGTCGGACAGTTGCAGATCCTGGTTCTTTACTTGACAAATGAATAGTGAAAATGCAGTGGGAACGGGTTGAAGCTTGGTTCATAGGAGTCTACAAAAAAGAAATTTCAAAACAAAAAGAATGTGAACAATGAGAATTTTTGAAGAATGTTGACAAATATAAATTTACATTTCCAATGGTGAGACACTTCGCATGAAGCCAACTCTGTGAAATGGAGCAAAAAAACCCCCTTGTAGCTGAGACCCTAAAAGTGAATTCTTTTCAAGGTATTACACCTTGAAAACCTCATAAGAGATGTCAATGGGTTAATTCATAAAATCAGAAAAGGGCCGGCCGAGTGGATCAGTTGGTTAAGAGCTTGCGCAAGAGTGCGAACTCTGAGCAACAGCGGTTCGATGCCCAGCCCGAGCTGAGTTGCCGCTGAGCTGCCAACAGGTAGCAGGATGGCTCAGCTAAAAAACAAACAAACAAACAAACAAACAAAAAATGTTCATAAAATCAGAAAAGAGTTTGAATGAGGTAAAGCTTGGGTCCTCTTACCAATATGATAATGTTATTGCATTATAGGACCACAATTTATACCTTAACTTTGGCTAGCCTTATCGAAAATGCTTCATATGATTATCATGGGAAAAGGGGTGAGAATGGATGCATTGAGGGAATTCATTACACGAGTGTAAACACAGTCTATTAACAAGAGTGTCCAGCATCGCTGCTACTACCTAACACTCAATCAGAGGTCCCAGCCAATGTAATAAATCAGAAAAAGAAACACAAGGCATATTAATAGAAAAAGAAGACATTAAAGTGTCATTATATACAGGAAATATGGTGGTCTACATAGAAAAATGCAAGAGTATTTACAAACTGTTAAGAACTAAAAAGTTTAGCAGGGTTGCTGGGGACAAGATCAACATGAGAAATCAATGAAGTGCTAATAATCCAGCAACAATTAATCAGGAAATATTCATAATGGTAACAAAGATGATGAGGCTATAAGGGATTAATCTTATAAAAGGCATGTAATTTGTAGGGAAAACGACAAAATTATATTAAAGGATACAAACAAAAAACCTGAATAAATGGTGTGCTAGATTTAAAATACCATTTAATGGATGGGAAAACTCAAAATTAATCTATACATTAATCTCTCTATAGTAACCTTTACATTTAATGCAGGTGAAATAAAAATGCTACAGAACAAATAAATTGATTCTAAAATCAGATGGAAGAGCAAATATTGAAAATAAAAAATAATTATGTGAAAGAAGAAAGAGGAAGAAGGATTTGTCCTGCTATTTATCAAGGTGTATCATAATGCCATAGTAGTTAAAACAGTGAGGTACTGGTGCAGGAACAGATAACTAGATCAGCAAAACATGCTGTGTTCATTTAGGAACTCTATAGGATAAAGGTGACATCACACCACAGTGCAGAAAGCATGGACTAATTCATAAATGGGGCTGGAATAATTGGCTATTTATCTTGAAAAATGTACATTTAGATTGCTTTCCCACACCATACACACAAATTCCAGAATGTATTAAAGACGTATATGTAAAATAAAACAATTTTAACATTAATATAAGAAAATATGGTAGCATATTATAGTCAACCCAAGGTAGTAATGGATATTTTATAAGACATAAAATACAAAAATGAATTGATTTAAACTATTTGACCAAATAATCCAAAATTAAAGAACTTCTGTGTGATAAAATCTACCACAAAGGTGAAAGACTGGGAGAAGGTATTTATAATACATATGGCTGGCAAAAGATTAATATTTGACATAAAGAACTCTCACATGTCACTAAGAAAAAGACAAACGACTCAGAAAAAAAATATATGAGCAAAGGATATGAACAGACAACCCATAAAGAGGAAACCTGAAAATGGTCAATAAGCACTTTAAGAAAAAGTTCAAGTACAAATAATCAAGACAAAATAATTAAAGCCATAACGATAAACTATTTCATTAATATCCGTCAGACTGGCAAAACTTTAAAAATAAAATTTAACAAAAGTGTTTGTAAGGACATAAGGAAATGCGAACTTGTATACACTGCTGGTGGGAATATAAATTAAGAACCTTTTTTGAGAGCAATTTGACAATAGGTGGTAAAGTTGCAAATGCCTATAACCGACAACCAGCCATAGATTAATAGACTACTAGGTATATTTCCTAGAGAGAAATCTGGGAGTGGTATACCAGGAGGAGGGGGGGAGGGAGAGAGATAGAGAGAGAGAGAGAAAGGGAGGGAAAGAAAGGGAGGGAAGGAGGGAGGGAGAGAGAATATTAGAGATGGATGGAGATGGATATTCACTGAAACACTGTTTGGGATTGTAAAAAAATTGGTGTAAGATGTACAACATAAATGGACATCTCGACGGAAAAGATGAATAAACTGGGATCAATTCAAACTAGAGAAGTTAAAATGAAGCAACTTTTGGATAGATTGGCATAGATTTCTAAAATAGAAGGCTGAGGAAAAACAGCAAGCTAAAGACTGATATAAACACTATGATAGAACTCATATAATTAAAAAAAGTAATATATGATCTAAAACCATTTATTCATGGTGCTAGATCTTAGGTCACTAAAAGAATAAAAATATGGACTAGAAGGGTACGGTAAGTTAATGATCGCCGTTGCCTTTGTGAGGGATAGAAGCGGAAGTCAACAAGGGGACGTCAACTTTATCTGTAATACCCTATTTCTTTTATTTAAAAATGATTGGAAGCAAATTCTGATATCCCAAAACATCTAACAATAAAAATTATCTAGGGCCGGCCAAGTGGTGCAATGGCTAAGAAACTGGCTTGGGACGCCAGAGGGCCCCGGTTCGGATCCCACATGTGAGGGCCAGTGACACTGCCCTCCACAAAAAACAAACAAACAAACAAACAAAAATTATCTAAAAATATTCCAAATGAATATTCATATGTGTAAACGCGTTCAGGTCTCCACTTTTGCAAATGGGACTTAAGCAAAGAATCTCCATGGATGCACATGGATGCAGAGAGGGTCACACACTTGGCTGCTATTTCAACCAGAAATTCTGTCTGTAAATATAAATTCTTGATATACACCATCGGAGACTTATGCCAACTAGCAAAATACACAGATGTCAAAAGCCTGGCATAGCTTTGGTGATGATGATGTAGCTGTGAGTTAAATAGGCTGAAAATTTGAGCCATTACTTGTTGCCACAATAACTAGACCCAACCTAGCCAGTGTGTGATTTTGCATGCTAAAGTGGATCAGCAAATAACCGTGCATGTAAAACCGCAAACTCAAATTTAGAACCGAACTTGAGGTGTTTTGGAAGTGACTGTAAGTTATTTGCAGAACTTAAACATGGGTTTCATTTCACTGTTATATTCACACAACAATAAATCCTACAGTACTGTAATGAAAGTCAAATTGACAATCGATTTACACGAAACCCATTGAGACTCGCCCCAACAGCTGTCTTCAGCTTCTAAATTGATATACTGAAATCACAGTAAAATGTAGGCCATTACTGAATATTGTAAAAGTGTACCCATTTCAAAGGAATGTGAGATTTACATCAAATTAAATTGCATTTCTAGAGTTTGTAATTAAAATGCCATCATATGCCGTAGGAGTCTGTGCCTACAATTTTGTAACTTCTCATAAATATTTTCTGCATGAAGTAGTAGTTGGTGTCCTCTTAGCTAAAATTTTCTTAAACCTCAGAAAACATTCTTTATGTGTAGCTGTTTAATGGTGATTGAATGTGCGGGTGTTTGCTCTGTGTTTATTTAAGAACGTCTTTATGTCTCATAGGCATGCCCCTACGTTTGTCCTTTTAAAGGTAAAATTGTATTAAAACATTTCTGAAACTGCCTAAGAACAGATGGCACCATTTAGGCAGATTCATTCAAATTTAAGTGCACATTTTAAACAAATGTGCTCTTGGCACTGGAGACTGTGCCTTTGGAAAAATTCTAGTGATGATTAATCTTCCCCATGCACAGAGCTTTCACATTTCATATCGGACTGTGTATACAGCTCTGTGTTAGGCAGTACAGAGACTAGAAGGAAAAGAAGATAGGGGTCTTGCCCTCAAGGAATTTATAATCTAGTTTAGGAGCTAAAGACAAACTGTGTGGAATGAGGATAAATGATGAGAGAAAGGCAGTGATCTGCTCTGCACTGAGCATTCTGATCCTCTAGGTAATACCTGAGAATGCTAGCTGTTCCCTCATTCCACAAGCGCTCCACCCACCTCTAGTCCCTGGTGCCTAGAGTCAAACACTCTACTGGTACTTTCCTTTTAACTGTTCTGTCTCCTTTTCCTTTATGAGACCCTTTTCTCTCCAAGTTCCAAAATAGACATGCCCAAGCTCTGGTCATATTTCTTCCCCTTGGGGAACTCTTGTACAGCTCTGATTCTCATTGGATAGACACTGTGGTGTAGTTAAAAAAAATCACACACCAAATATATTAGAATCTGCAATAAGCATCGGGGTGCATATATCTTTTGGAGTTAGTGTTTTTGTTTTATTCAGATAAGTACCCAGAAGTAGAATTTCTGGGTCAAATGGTAGTTCTATTTTAAGTTTTTTGAGGAACCTCCATATTGTTTTCCATTGTGGCTGCACCAATTTACATTCCCACAAACAGTACACAGTATTTTTTTTTCTCCACATCCTGACCACACTTGTTCTTTGTTGTATTGTTGATAACAGTGATTCTGATGAGTGTGAGGTGATAGCTCATCGTGGTTTTGATTTGCACTGTTTACAATAGCCATGGAAGCAACCTAAGTGTCCATTGGTAGTCAATTGGATAAAGAAGATGTGGTACATGTACATAATGAAATATTACTCAGCCATGAAAAGAATGCATTCTTGCCATTGTGACAACATGGATGGACTTAGAGAGTATTAAGCTGACTGAAATAAGTCAGAGAAAGACAAATACTGTATGATTGTACTTACAAGTGGAACCTAAAGAACAAGTGATCAAATGAAAGGAAACAGAAATGAACTCATAGATACAAGGAACTGATGATTGCCAGAGGGGAGGAGAGATGGACACAAAGGGGAAAGGGGATTAG